GTGTTTAGTATGAATATGTGCCAGTATCTTATCTGGCAACCCCAAATGAGGGTAGTGGAGAGTAAATTGGAAAATAGGGCCTGTCTACTGGGACCCAAACCTCTTCACAGAGGCTAACAAATTATTGTCAGTTTATAATTATTCAAAGAAAGCCAAGTTAATGTGAAACGCCCATATGTGTTAAAGTTGGCACCAAACAGCACTGGGTAAGCTACTACAGGCTCACATGCGGAAAATTTCAACCCACCCAATCCGAGTTGCTGGGAGCCCTGAGCCCACCCTTCTTAAACATAGAACAGGGAAGCAAAATCTCTTCAGTCTCATTCCCTGAGAGCCGAACAGTCCGAGGTCACTCCGCAAAGGAGGCGACAAGTCTCTGAGTCCAGCGGGACTGCGGTGCAGCTCCCTGAACGCACGTCGGAGGGAGAGCCCAGCAAAGTGGGTCTCCCGCTTGCTGTGCCTTCTTGTGGGTCCTCTGTTAAATATGCAGATTAAACAAGGGGCTTCTGATAAAGATTATTACAAGAGGCTGCGCATTAACTCTCCAGTATTAAAGGAAGCCCCAAATCTCCCCCTTGCAAGCTGTTCCCAGGATTAGCAAAACAACAACTTTCCTTTGGGATAATTGTCCTTTGAATTGGTCAGAGGCGAGGGCACCTTTAGACAGCTTTAGACGCCGGGGTTATTTTTGGCTCCGCTAGGAATTTCTTCCCAAATTTATCTCTGGGTTTATGGGAAGGTGTTTGAAAGTATAGGATCCAGTCAAGGTGCTCTGGCTCTTTGCCCGGCAGAGTTGTCCTTCAGAATGTGGAGCCACAGTTAAGGAAGACACCTGATGATCCACACATTCAGACCGAGTCCGAGGTGGGCAGGCAGGACAATCAGCCCTCAGGCGGCCCAACCAGGGCGTCGTGCAAGCGGAAGGTCTACCTACAGGCGCCAGGGCTCGCACAGATTCGTGCGCAGCCGCTACAGCCTGGAGTGGTAACAGCCTGGGTCAGAGTCTTAGAGTTTCCCTCCCCTAGCCTCTGTCAGGGGATGCAGGAGATCACTGAGAAGACAGACCCCAAGTAGATGACCAGGGACCTAGCAGTGCCAAAAGGCCCGGAGGGAGAAACCCAAGTTTGGCCACTCCTCATTGTGACAGCCTCACAGTGCCAAGAGCACTTTGAAAGGGTCTTACAAAATCCATTTTGCAGACGAGAGAAACCAAGGCTTTCATTCTGCTCACACCGGACACGGAGAGAGAAACCAGAAGAGCGAAGCAGAGAGAGACCCGAGAGAAGAAGCCGGGTTTGGAGCCCTAAGGGAACCCTGCAGTTCCTGAATAGAGGCGTCCCTATCGCCTCCTCCTGGCCCACCTGCAGGGTGAGGTAGAGCTGCACTGGCGCGCCTGCCTTTTCGCAGCATGAAGCCTGAAGGCACTTTCACTGCTCTTATTCCAATGAGTAGCACTTCCCTTTCCCCTAACCCCGTTAACGCAAGCCCCCACTCCCACGCACCCTCCACCCCACCCCACCCCCAGCTAATGCGGGGCATCGAGGGTCCCCTCCAGCGCTCAACTGCAGGATCAGCTCAGAGCCCCGGCCACCAAGGATGAGGAAACATCAGTGCAAACCCGGCTAAGCGCTTAGCTCTGAGTCTGCCAAGGTAAGGGAAGCGCTTCTAGTCGTTCAGTAGACTTGGAGAGAACTAGCGGGCCCCAGAGTCCATCCACACTTCGCGTCTCCCCGGGGCGCCCCGGGCAAGTGCTTGTCTAGGCGGTGGGCGCCCGCGTTTGGGGAAATTCTCAGGTCCCTCTCTCCACATACGAATCTGCAGCCTTTGCCAGAGCCCTCTTGAGCGTCCCCGCCCCGGGTCACCCCCACCCCCAATCATTTTGGAACTCTAAATCCGTTAAGGGTCCGGATCTGCTGTCATCGGCCAGGATTATCCAGGATTTGACTAATCAGTAAAGATTTCTCTGCTCATTATTTTCCAGAGGTTTCCAACCCCTCTTTGTGGCCATCCACAAAAGTGAGCTCCACTTCCCCAGCCGCCAGGAGTCTCGGCTCTTACCGGCTCCAGGCTGAGACTGGACAGAGTGTAAGTGGCTCAACAGAGATCCATGCTGTGCTTTTAGGAGCCACGCCTTGCCCGGTTGTTAGTATAAAGTACAGACACAATAGGGGTGGGATGCACACGCGTGCATAAAATGGATCGCCATGCGAATGTCTGCACTAACGGGTCCTCTGACTCTGTTCCTCTTCTGATTTTCCTCCTGTCTCTCTGTCAGCCCCTTCTCGGTTGCTTTGGTATCCCCCTTTAAAGTTGTAGCAGATGCTGTTTTGCCCTGTCCATGTCTCATGCCCTAACCATTGCTCCTGGCTTGAACCTGGTCTCCAGTACCCACCCCCACACGTCTTCCTTGGGGGCTTTCTCTGATCTCTAGAGCCCACTTTGCCCACTAGTGGGAGGTGCCAAGGATTAACACACCCTTAGAAGTCCTGGACCAAAGACTGGCAGGAGTTGGAGTATAAATACCTACGCCCAGGTCTGGGATGGAATAACTCAGGTATGCATTCTACTCTGCCTGCAGAGGTCCTCAGCAGAGTTGTGCCTGCTATTTCCTAATTATCCCATCCCATATTGCTTTCTTCTTAAGTGCTGTGAGATAGGACCCAGATCCCCTTTCCAGGCTCTGACACTTTCCCTGGCTGCTGTGAACATAAGCTGCTAACAGCTCACCATTGCCCCTAACTGGGAGAATTGCTCTCTGCTGACAAAAGCCCCTAACCCAGGCCAGACCCTGCACGGCCACCCTACCAACATACAAAACTTTTGAATGACTGATGCCAGGCATGATAGGAGGCTGCCCTTTGCCTCCAGAGGGACAACTCTGTAGAATCATCTCTGCTCCAAATTCTTCTCCACTCATGGATTACACCGGAGCTCAGCTGGACCTAAGTGCACACCCTGGCCCAGTTTCTCCCCTCCTCTATGGCCTCCTTCACCCCTGTGACCCTCCTCCTCTCACAATAAAACTCATGCATCTATATTTTATCTCAGGTTCTGCTTCTAAGGACCTGTTCCCCCTCTTGTTTCCTCACTCCCCTCCTGGTGTTGCTCAAAATCATCTCCCAGATAAACTACTTATACTGGAATGCTTGCTTGACTCAGTCTACTTCTGGGGAAATCCAAACTTACACTGTATTTCTCAGGCACTATTCTCTCTCCCTCATGTGGGATCCCATGGTGCAATCACCATCTGCCTGCCAAGAACTCTTATCTGTCACCAGCCTGGGATAGATTTCTGAAGCCTAGGCCCATATCTCCTATGGTCCTCTGGACATCTGTCCCCAAGTTTTCAGGGGCATGGAAGTATAGCCCACCTGCACTAAATGCAGCATCTTCTCCTCAAGTCTGCATCTCCCCACATCTTCTTTACCTCCACCCCAGGGGCCCAAACAGAATGTTATCCTTGACATCGTACTTTCCCCACCAGCTCTATCTCCAATTACTAAAATAATATGTGTAACAATAGCTGCCACCTCTTGGGTCCTTGTTATGGGCAGCTACTATTGTAAACACTTTATCAAAATGGTCACATTTTATCCTGACCACAACTCCCTGGGTGGACACTATTATTGTCCACATCTTTCAGGTAAGAAAAGAGATTTAGGGAGGTCAGTTATAGCCAGAATCTGAACCCAAACACACTGTGCAGCTAAAGCCTGACTCTGGGCCACCAACTACCCTGAATCTCTCCTCACATCCTCTCAAAGCCACTATCCCCGCTCCTTGACCACACCTGACCCACACTGACCAAACTAATTTATTTTTAAGTCTAGAGCTACCCAGTAACCAAGCAAGTTTTGGGGTATCCTAAAGAGGTGGTCCCACAGATGCTTTCTCTTTCCACTCTATGGAAATCCAGTTATTTTCATAGCCTACACACAAGGACTGAGGGAGAGGTGGTGATTTCTGTACAGTAGCAGTTTGAATATCTGGTGGCTACTCTGCATGCCTTGGAGCCTGTTCCCAGGCATTATTTGGCTTTTTTCATAGATACCTGACCTGTCAGTGCCCAGCTCTTTTTCTCCAGCCTTCCTTCAGTCAGAAAAAAAAAAAATGATGTTATTCAGTAAACTTCTTTGCTATGTA